CCCTTTAACTACCGACGGTACTTATAAGTACCACTCACTTTAAAATTACATAGAATAAACATTTTTACGAATACTCTGACAATATTTAGCAGGAATATTCCTTTAAATCCACAATATATATGGCCGCACGTGTTCTATGATAAGTATTTTAGTATGGAAGGCGAATAGCTTTATAGCAGAAGTTGCGTTTTCAGCTGACATTTTGATCGGATTGCGAAGATTGTCATTTTTGTTCCAAAAAAGAAGTTAATATCAAAAGGTGTCTTATTTTTCTATATGCTAAAGAATATCTTAGAAAACTATTTGACTATTTATTTTAAATGCTCAGTATATATAATTAATTTTATAGTTGAATAACTTGGTGGTACTTATAAGTACCGACAGCACACTGGGTTTTGGAATCAAACTCAATTTGTTTTTTTTCGTTCGTGTGGCTTATTGTTGTTTTTTGTTTTGTTGTAGAGTCATCACTATAGTGCAGTAGACTTATGCTTTTTTGGCATTTCTTTAAGCTTAACTTATTTATTTTGCTTTTATATTGTTTTATTTTAATGTTTTCAAACAATTTTGAACTTTAAATCAGAGCTTTTTTTTTTCTTTTTGCCCCATAATTAAATTAAATATTTATTCTTATTTTAAAATTTAACAAAACTTTAACTTCTTTATGTGTAACTGAGGTTTAACAATAATAGAATATTTTTAATGTGCTATTATTATTATTATTATTTCCTTTTCTTACAATGCCTGGAAAAAAGGAACTCTGTCTTCAAGAAGCTTTGGATTTATTACAGAACCTACCATCTGAAACCAATGATGTAATAACAGCTGATTTTTCAGATGAAGAAGTCCCATCAAATTAACTGCTGGGGTTTTCGTTAGATTCTTATTATGACGATCAAGAAACTGAACTCGAGGCGCAGTAGTTCATGTTAAGAAAATACAACATTTCTTTCCACGAGATGCAGTGATTTAAAAAACTCACTCAAAATGCCCAACGTGTAATGAATTTCTGTGTATTAATGAAAAGTAAAACTGTTTATTTGAATATCATCAAATTAGACTAATGGGTAAAAAAAGTAAATAAATTTTAAAAATTTAATAATCTCTAAAAATAAATATTTTGTGTTGTAAAATATTAGTGTTCTCTGGTTATTCTAAGAGTTAAAACTGCTTTAAAAAAGTCATTCGGTCTTTTCTTGTTATGGTTATATTTGAGACCTTTGTAGACTGATATGGTACTTTAAGAACCAATTTAATTAATGAGATCTAACCAATTAAATTTTCCAAAATTGAAAATTTTATTTATATACATCACTGAAATTTTAATGCCGTGATTGAAAAAAAAATATCGCATGAAAAAATTTGTAGTAAATCATAATGCGATTGTTAAAGGGTTAAAAGCGCTTTTTTATACGAGAGACTCTTATTATAATTTATATTATAACCTTAGTGCTAAGCAAATTTTTTTTTAAAAAAAAATATTCGTGAATATTTAATGATAAAATAAAAAAAAATTTAAAAAAAAAAAACACTAATATATTTTATATTATCTATTTGTTAAGCTCTAAGATACTGAGGGGATATATAAACCTGTTTTCCTATGTAAAAAGTATTATTTTTTATTGCAATAATGTTAATCTAGTGTGCCTTTTATTTCTTGAATTTGTAGTTAATCATACTCTTTGTCTAGTCGTTAAGAAAAACTTTTTTGGTTATTAAAAAATTTAAACAAAAAAGAATTTGAAACATTTTTTAAAAAATTTTTTAATGGGGCTGTGCATTGGTATTTTTATCTTTTCGGACCTAGTACATTCCCCAGAAGCTGTTATCACTTTTTAGCTCGGTACCACAAATGCGATACCAATTACCGCAAGTAATTTTGACATCTAGTTACCTTAGCTCTTAAGCAAATATATAATACTAATATGTGGTTATAAAAGGTTTATTCTTTTGATATAAAGAAGTTTAAGGTTTTTTTTTTGTTGTAAAATATTTTAAAATTTTGATTTAAACCCGCGAGAGCAGGTACGCACTCGATACTAACGTTAATTTTCGCGCGAGGTGACTCAGTCATCTCAATACGTTTTTTTAATAATTATTTTTATTATAGACAATAAAAATCGTAATTACACTGAATAATTTAACTAAGAGAAATATATATATGCAATGTTTATAACACTGCAGCATCCATTTTATAATTTTTATTCTCGTTACTCATATGTCCTTCATTGTGTGTTTTTCCTACTGTTTATGTGTTTTTCGAATGTGATTTTTGGATGTTATCTCTTGTTTGCAGATAATAAGCCTACATTTATATAAATATACTATTTAATTATATTATGAATTTAAATACACTCATGTCCAAAATGAAGGTCACAAACATAAAAACTGTGAAAACTGATGAACTAATCAGTGCGTTGCCACGAAATTTGGCATACAGACATATTACAATGTGATGAAAAAATATTGCAACATAACATTATAGAAAAAATTTTAATTTTTAATTAAGATGAAGGTTTTATTGAAAAGTGGGATATTATGAATTAGAGATAAAGCATTTCACTTGGGAAAAGTCTGTCTTTTTGGAGTGTAATTACTGTGGACTGCTATACAAGCCTCACAACGAGCTGCCATATTGTTTATGGGAGTGTCAATAAGCATGTGTGGCAATAAAGCCTATTCTTCCAAAAGCAGGACTTTATTCTCTGGGGGATCATGAAAGGGGAGTGAAAGCCGATGAATTATTCAGTGATGAGAAATGGATCTTACTAGATTATACCAAACATGTTTAATAGAACTGTAGTCTGGAGACATCGGAGATCAATCCATACTGCGAATATCCATTCCATCATGAATTTCATCAACAATGTGAGTTCTGTGAGACTTCACATTATCGTCCATAAATATGTAGTCCCTGCACATAGCACCCAGATAAACATCACATAGGCTTTCAGGATATCACCCCTCTACAGCGGTGTGAGTTGACAATACCCGCAAGAAAAGCGTACAGTGTTGTACGACTACTTAACATGCCATCACACTTTAGGATTCATTTGCCGCCAAATCTGTCGAATTTTGTTAGGTTGGAGAGATAACAGTGAGCTCCAATTTCTTTCCAGATGAAGACTCGACAGGGATCAGTTTGCCTGGTACATTTCAACTTATCAATGAAAAGAACACGACCCCATTTCTGTGGTGTTTACGACTGATGTTTTCAGCTCCCCAGTATCAGTTTTTTTCTGCTGAATGCAGTCAAAGCGACGTACTCTGCCTGGTACATTTCAACTTATCAATGAAAACAACACGACCCCATTTCTGTGGTGTTTACGACTGATGTTTTCAGCTCCCCAGTATCAGTTTTTTTCTGCTGAATGCAGTCAAAGCGACGTACTACAGTGGAAGGTAGGCGTGAAGGTCAATCTCTGCAAGACAGCTGTAGACTGTTTGCCTAGAAATTTTTCTATCAGACACAGCAGAAAGGTTACGAGAAAGCCGAAGAGCCATTTTCCGCCTATGTGGTCATGCACTTAATGCTCAGTAGCGATCCTGCACAGATGTCGATGCTCTCTGTCGACCTTCCTGGTGACAGTGCCACTTGTTTAGAATTGATTCCGCAACCTTGAGCCCACTTTCAAGCTAATTGTACCCCTCGAGCCACCTCCACTTGAGACTGGCAATCTTCAAACCTGCCAATGGTTCTCCATCTCAAGGAGTCATCCTCACTACAAACATATTAATTTGTTTGTCTTAATGCGATATTTTCACAATACTGGAAGCAAAATTCTCATATACTTGAACCGTCTCAATTCAGTTATATTCTGTAAAAACTAACACTAAACCATATCTTTTCCTAAACTGCAGGTTGATATTGTACTACGCACTCTTTAAAATATATGAAATACAAAATCTATCAATCTTTCTTGAAGCATTTTAAAATTACGCAAGAAACATGTTTGTAACTTTAATTTTGGAAATGGGTATATTATACAATATGATAATATATGTAATTCGATTGCATATACTTATAAAATAGAATTCATAAACCTTATTCAATGAATGCCTCTTAACTTTACAAAGAGATATGATTCTGAAAAATAACAAATATGGAAAAACTGTTTAACATTTTTTAATAAATATTAATTTACCTATGTAGATTTATTGAAAAACATAATTTCCAAAGGAATTAATCTTTTATAGATAGTAATTTTCAAAAAAAAAAGGAAACTTATTTTTTATTTTTTTAATTCACATTAAAATAGAACTTTCAAACATTAAACATATTTTTCTTAATATTCATCATTTTAAATTTGATATTTCCTTTGTTAAGCTCCCATGCCTTGTTTATTTCTTTTAGCAAAAGAAGTTTGCTGACGTAATTGCTTCGTCCAGTCATTGAAAAGAAAATTCAAAATTCTCTCTCTCATTTGTTAAATCTTTAATGCTTTTCAAAACTTACCTATTGTGTGCCGTATATGCAGACTCCTATACTTTCAAACTGCAACTTTGTAATTTTAGGTATATTCGCCATGTAACACTCACTTTGTTTTTCTTTTTTTTTTACTCAGGAACATTAAATGTATATGTGCAATGTTCATTTGACGTATAAATATAGTGTGTGTGATTAATACAAACACACACACACAAGAAAGGAAATTAAACCTGACATAATGAAAAGTCGTACAAAATCCAGTTTATCTAACAGTCTAGATGGAATTATAGAAAATTTTAAAATATTTGTTGGCTTTTTTTGGAAACTTGTTAAGATGTTTTCTCTTTTACAAGCTTTTATTTAACTTGCAATTTTAAATTTTCGGGTGTAATTTTTCAACTTAATTTTGAAGCTAATGTCTTCAACCGATTGAACTGAAATTTTGTATACACGTTTAGTTTAGTTGACAATGCATGTTTTGATGATTTATTTTCCGATATCGACCTAGTTACTCTAACGATCTTGTTCAGGTCTTAAGACGAGCATGTTTATAATAACAAAGATGTGCACCGGGGGCGTAGCTCAGATGTTAGAACGCTCGCTTAGCATGTGAGAGGTTCGGGGATTGATACCCCGCGCCTCAAATTATTATTTGATTAGGTAAAAAGCTTTTGAAATTCGTTTGATTTGTACAACGGGATATTTTACAATACTTTCACTCAGCATACGTACAAATTATGTTATATTTTTACTGTTCTAGAGGGAACACTAAGAAAGGCAGATGTATCAAGCTATTTCTATTTACTTTGAAACATTCTATGATATCTATTTACTCGATTCTAGTTTATCCCATATCACTTTTAATTGACCTATTTACTGTAACGATCTTGTTCAGGTGTTAAGGTGAGCATGTTTATAAAAACACAGGTTTTGACCGGGAACTTAGCTCAGATGGTAGAGCACTCGCTTATCATGCGAGAGGTACGGGAATCGATACCCCGTTCCTCCAATTATTATTTTTTCGTGTAAAATATTTTTGAAATTCGTTTGATTTATGCAAATAGATATTTTACAATACTTCCACTTTGTATACCTACAAAGTATGCTATATTTTACAAGCTTTTATTTAACTTGCAATGTAAAGTGTTCGGGTGGAATCTTGCAACTCAATTTTGAAGCTGATGTCTTCAATTGATTGAGCTGAAATTTTGTTCCGATTATATATTTTACATTTATATTCTGATATCACATTTAGTTAAAAAGATGAGCTGCATGATTCCTTGCGATGCACTGGCTTTCTCCACTTTTATTAATTTTTCCCTCTCCTTCACAAAATTAGCCCTTCTAATACTCTTTTTCAAAATGACTTCCACCTCCTCCTCTTCTTAGCCCAGCGTTGCTCGGGTTTTTACCGAGTGTATAATTTGAGATTCCCTGCTTCGAAATTTTTCGCTTTTTTTTTGTCAGACAGGTTTATTTCCCCTCGGCGTTGCACGAACATTTTTAAATGCATAACATATTGTCATGGAAATTCCCCTTCTCTACTCGTGATCAGAACTCTCGAGAAAATGAACATTCACCGATCTTAAGCAGCTTGACACATGCAGCCATCTAGTGGCACAAAAAGTAATGAATAACTGCACACACAAAAAAATTCGTAAGAAAAGTTTTCGACATTTTATTTTTTAAATCACTAACTGTAAAATATCAAAGTATGAGTTTTTTAAAAACCATTTTCATATAAACGCATTGATATTGAATCATTTTAAAAAAAAATCATAAAATATGTAAAGTATGGTTGTTTTGTAAAAAAAAGAAAAAAAGAAAAAAAAGAAAAATTATACTGTATCGTGACGAAATAATTTATCGTTCCAATTACAAAATTGCTGGAGGAGTTATTAAATGCGTGAATAAAATTTTGCGTATTTTTTTAAAGAAATCATAAAAAACCAAGCAATGGTGTTGTTTCGAACTCGGGTACAAATTTACTAATCCAGCGCTCTAAGCGACCGATCCACGAAATTTTCGGAAAAAAAGAAATAAAAGACAGTTGAAATAAAAGAAATATTCAATCTCGCATTGCGTTATTTGTTAAAGTTTAAATTTATTTTCGGGCTTAATTTTTAAGTTAATGCCTTCAAACTTCATATATCGATTGCAAACAACGGTAATTTTTAAACAAAAAATGTAATAAAAATAATGCTTAAATATTTCTCGCAAAAAAGGAGAGAGAAAAATGAAAAAAAACAATTTTTTTTTTTTAAAAAAAGCGAGATTTTTAAGCAATTTTTTCAATCTTTGTGCAGATTACAGATAATATCGTTCTACACACGGAAAAAAAGTTTCATGAAATTATTTTCTGTAAATAAAGAAATTATTATGTATTTCAATAAAATTTTCCGTATTTTTTGAAAAATCGTAAAAAAATTTTTTTTTGACTTTTTATTTTTAAAATGACTGATTCTAAAAGAGAAAAGCGTGAATTTTATTAGGGTTGAATATAATTTCATTAACGTGAAAGAAAATGCAATCGGAATGATTTAGAAATGATTTTCATAAAAACGTATCGATTTTGACACATTTTAGAAAAAAATCGTAAAAAATAGAAAATACCATTATTTTGTAAGAAAAATTAAAGTAAATGTTCTTTCAGATTCTGTAATTAATTTTTGTCTGAGTCTCATAAAAAAAATAGCTCGTGTTTTAAAAACGTCTGGGAAGGAAGAAAGAAGGTCGGAAAATTGGAACTTCACCACGTGGAGGGGGAAAAAAATTAAATAATTATACGTTTTGAGGTTTTTTAATTAATATCTTTTTAACTATTTGCACTTTCGGAACATAAATAGTCAAAACGAATTTCTCGGAATATTCCCAATCTTTTGGTACCTTCAGCGATTTTCTGCGTCGTGCGTTCGTGAGAAGATACACCTAGTCGCATACATTTGTTGTCCTTCGAATTTTAATATTGTAGAAATTAGTTAAAGTAATATTTTCGGTTGGAATCTTGCAACTCAATTTTGAAGCTCATGTTTTCAATCGATTGAACTGAAATTTTGTTTACCAGTTTAGTTTGGATGTCAATGCATATTTTGATGATTTATATTCTGATTTCGTAATAGTTAAAAAGATATTAATTGAAAACATTTTACCTCTGTTAGCTTTTTATTCTGCCGAGAAGCTTATCGGATTGAGCTTAAAGTTCAGATTTTTCGACTTTTTTTCAAAAACCATCTTATTCTTTCTATCAAATTGAGACAAAAAAATAATTACCTAATCAGAAAGTTCATTTATTTTTCCACGATACGGTATAATTCTTTTTATATAATAATGATATTTTCTATTTTTTACAATTTATTCTAAAATGAGTCAAAATCGATGCGTTTGCATGAAAATGATTTCTAAATCGTTCCGAATGAATTTTTTTCATGTTATTGAATCAATATTCTGCACTAAGAAAGTTCAGGCTTTTCTTTTTCAGAATCAGTCATTTAAAAAAATAAAATGTCTAAAGTTTGTTTTTTTTCACGATTTTTCAAAAAAATACTAAATGTTTTATAAAACATTTAAAAACTACATCATTTTTAAAAATAATCGTTCGAAAATATTTTTTCCGTTTGTAGAATATTATTATCCAAATTCTGCACAAAAATTGAAAAAATTTGGTTTAAAATTACGGATTTAAAAAAAGAAATGTGTTTTTCGTTTTTAATGTAGTATTATAGTAAAAGAAAAAAAAACTGAGCTTCAATATTTTAATTAATTTTGCTTTGTCCAATGTTGTTTTGGTCTAACACAGTGCTTCTCAAACTTTCAATACTGGCGCCCCCCTTTTCAATCACAATTTTTATCGCGCCCCTCCTTATACATTAATAAATTATTGAATGCAATAATAATGCACTTTGACGCTAAAGCTACAATACACAATCTTAATTTTATAAACCGTACAAATTAATAACATAAGTATTAAATTTTGTATATGTTACTTTTAAGCAAAAAAAAACAAAAAATTAAATAATAGGATAATTATTATGTTATTTTTCCTTTCTCTAATTTTTAAATTGGAACATATTGCAAAATGCGGTGGCTGCTTAGAAGACAAAATATAGATATCAGCTAAATATAGAAAAAGAACTCAGAGGGTCAATTTCTAAAAAACTTTGCTTTGCAAGACAAGCCCATGGAAGTCGCTAATACTTATTAACTTGTTCTTAATTTAGTATTAATAAGATAAATATTAAATTTTTTATATATGTTACTCTCTTAAGTAATATATATTTTAAGTAAATTACTTTTAAGTAATAGGTTAACTATGTTATTTTTCTTTCTCTAATTTTTAAATTGAAACAGATAGAGAAATAATATTTAATTAAAGATTTATTTCCTTCAAGATCCATTTCTAAAAGTACAAATGTCATTAAAAAATAGCATAATCTATGTTGCTCTTTATCATATCCATTACATCTGGCATTCTCGCGAACGTTCATGTGAGTCTAGGCAACCTAACAGACGTCTGCATAAAACATGTAAAAATGCTGTACCTCGTACAATTCTAGTCAGTCTTGGCCGAATCGATTAGCAACCGAATCTCTCTTGAAGTACATTTCATAATTCCCGCGTTAATTGTAATTCACGGTATTAAGTATTTACGGCAGTGGATTAAAACAAAATCATAGATATATTTTTAAATCACAGCGAGCATTCGACGATAATAAAGCATCAACACGTACACAGACGAGGGCAAATTGATAGCAAGTTACGAATGGGTTAGGGATCCATTTCAAAATACTTCAGAAGGGCTCTCAACTGCCGAAAAAGAGATCTTCATAGATTTCACATTCAAAAACGAAATTAAAGGGCAATTTTGTAATAAATCACTCTTTGAATTCTGGATAGAGGTGGATGCTGAATTTTCTGCACTGAAAACAAAAGCATTTCGTATACTAATACCATTTTTAACATCATACCTTTGTGAATCCGGATTTTCTGCAATGGCTACTTTGAAGACAAAATATAGATCTGAGCTAAATATCAAAAAATAACTCTGAGTGTCAATTTCTAATTTTTAGCCTTCCTTTCAAAAACTTTGCTCTGCAAGACAAGCCCATGGAAGTCACTGATAATTATTAAACTTGTTCTTATACTGGCTGAAGTACCCACTCTTAACACGAGTTTATTTTTTTAAAAAATGATAATACATAATTCTTGATATAATAGCTTAATTATAAGGAGAGTAAAACCAAGTGCATGACAATGTATACAAAAATGTAAAATGATTTATTGAAATGAATACTCATTTTATAAACGGTTTTGAATGAACTGCAATTTTAAGCCTCGCAGAATTAGCATTTAGAATAAATGTTAAGTAATAAAAAAAAGAATATAAAATTCTAATGAGTAACAATTGTGTTATTTTTTTAATATTTAAAGCGAGAAAGCCCGGGATCAGGTGTGCACTCGATACTAACGTTAATGGTCGCGGGGAGTGATGCACCCCAATTCTTTTTTTTTATAATTATTTTCAATATACAAGATGAAAATCACAATTTCAGTGAATAATTTAACTAAGAGAAAATATACTTACCTATTTCAAGGATTTTTCTATTTGTCTTTCATAATTTGAGAAAATATCCAATAAAACTGAACT